GCCGCGTCCTCGGTCTCCTCTGGCGACCGTCCTGCCTCAGTCTCTGGGGTAGCCGAGGTCACAGGCGCACCCCACGACGCCCGGCTGGCCTGTATTTTTTGTAGCTCCCAAGTACCGCCATGTTGCCCAGGCTGTTGCCAAGCTCCTGGGCTCAAGCGTTCCTCCGCTTGGCCTCCCGAAGCGCTGGGATGACCGGCTTGAGCCACTGCCTCGGGCCAACATTGGGCTTCTTTTAGGACCACTGGAAGCAGAATAGGATAGAGGATAGCAAGATGGTTTTCTCAAAGGTTGCTCTGGACGCTGAGTGGTACACGAATTACAGGGAGGCAAAACCAGAAGGAAAGAAGCTAGCTAGGAGGGAACTGAAGAACTAATATAAGTGGGTTTTGGATTCTTACTATTGTCAAGGTTTTTTTAAAACTCCAACTCCTGATTTAGTTATGCAAAAGATCCTGTGTAAGTGGGAATTTTAAAGATGGCCTTTCAGGCTGGTTGTGTTCGGACAATTGGGGGGGAAAGGCAAATACTACCTCATGCCTTACACAAAAATTCTTTCTACAAGGATTGGAGTGCCAAGTGAAGAAAATAAAATATTGTAAGAAATAATAAATAACTTTGGGAGTAGGAGAGACCTTAATATAAGAAACACTCCCCGGCGTTTTAACCTTTATAAAGGGAAGGATAGATAGGATACTTTCATAAAACGTAAAAGTCATAAGGGGGAAAGATGCCATAAACTAGGTAAAAAAGGGAACTGACAGACTGGGAAAAGTATTGGCCACACATGTGACATGCGACTAATACCCCTAATATTCAGAGTCCCTTTAAATTGGAGAAAAGATGACAGATTGGAAACATGGGCCAGAGATATAAACCGTCATCTCATGGAGGGGATACTTCAGAGTCCAGGTGTGGATTACACCTGTAATCCCAGCACTTTGGAAGGCTGAGGCAGGAGAAGAGCTTGAGACCAGCTTAGACAACAGAGCCAAGATGAGGCAGGAGGATTGCTTGAGCTTGGGAGTTACAGTGAGCTATGATCTCACTGCACCTTGGCAACACAGCAAGACCCTGTCTCAAAATAACAAGTGAAAAAATAAATACCATTAAGATACTATTTTCTTGCATAAAAGTGGCAGAAGTTTAAGACCGCTGAGTTTCAGTGTTGGGAAGCGGGGTGCAGTGGTTCACATCTGTAATCCAAGCACTTTGAGACTGGGAGGTGAGAGGATTGCCTGCGCCGACCAGTCTGGGCAACTTGACGAAGCCTCATCTTGTAGAATAAATTTTAAAAATTAGCAGAGTGTAGTGGTACACGCCTGAGATCCCAGCTACTTGGACGACTGAGGCATAAGAATCGCCTAAGCCCAGTAGGTGGAAGCTGCAGTGTTGTGAGCGTGCCACTGCACTCCAGCCTGGGTAACAGTGTGACTCTGACTCAAAAAAAAAAAAAAGAGAGATTCTGTGTTCGGAATGTGAATTGGTAGTCTTCTTTTGAAGACAGTTTGCCAGTTTGGTATGTGTCGGTATTTTAAATATATATTTCCTTTTTTTTAGTTTTTTGGGGTTTTTTTGAGTTGGAGTCTCACTCTGTCACCCAGACGAGTGCAGTGGCTGCTCCTGGCCACCGCAGCCTCGACCTGCTGGGCTCTGGTGATCCTTCCGCCTCAGTCTTCCAAGTAGCTGGAACTACAGGCGCGCACTACCACGCTCGGCTAATTTTTGATTTATTGTAGAGATGAGATCTCGCCAAGTTGCCCAGGCGGGTCTCGAACCCACGGGCTCAGGCAATCCACTCCTTTGATCCACTAATATCATGGCCAAGAATTTAACCTACAAAAAAGTCTTCAAGATGTTTACCACTACTAGTGTTGGAAGCAATTTACATGTCTATTAAATAGGAATGTTTAAACGTATTGTACATCCATGTTTCAGAGTATCATACTGTGTTAAAAGAATAAACGAGATCTATAAATGTTGCTGTGGAAGTGTCTCTAGGATATATTAGGACATAAAACCAAGTAATAGAAAAATGGGAGCATATGTTTGTACGTACATGGAAAAACGTCTGAAAAGGTGCCCCCCCCACCACTAACAGTGGTTACCTCTCATAAGGGGAAGAATCGGGTGGGGAATGAAGGAAGACTTTCACTCCTACTCTCTAATTATTTATCATTTGAACTCTGTATAGGAGAATTATGTAATAAAAGTAAAAAAGGATTAAAAGGAAGATATGCTCATAGTGGCCAATATCGCTGGCATTAAAAGTCATTTTTGTTTTTTGTTTTTCTGTATTTTGGAAAGTCTCTACAATTTGAAATTCAGGTTCTAAACACTGGAAGAAAAAAGGTTTGCATAAATTTAAAGAGCTATTTGAGTGCCTACCTATAATGTGGTAATGATAGATCTGACCTGTGGAAATTAGATAGCACATTTGTTTTGCTACTGGAGGAATGTTTACTTAAATGTTAACAGAAACTCAAGAAAGGGTGGAGGGAATGGGATAAAAGAGCACTTTGAAATAAAGTTCATATGATTTTAGTACATTTAAACCTCTAAATGAGCTCTCTGTCTTCTATTCAATGTAACTAAAACTTCTATGTTTTTGTCATTTTTCTTTTTAGGGCTGGTAAAATTTCAGCCTTCCCTTTGGCCTTGGGACTCTGTGAGGAACAATTTGAGAAGTGCCTTGACAGAGATGTGTGTTCTCTATGATGTTCTCAGTATTGTCAGGGATAAAAAGTTCATGACTCTTGATCCTGTCTCTCAGGATGCACTTCCTCCAAAACAGGTATGTGTGTGCCCCAGTTGAATAACATCTTATTAAGCCCTAGAGCCATGTTTTGGCTGTGTGTCTATGGTTTTCTTTTCCTTTGTTGCAAAATAAAGTCCATATGAAGACTTAAAGACCAACTAACCCAGAACCATGAGCCAAATACATTTCTTATCTCGATTAAAAAAAAAAAAGAAAAGACTAACTGGTCTACAACAAAACTGTAAAACTGATCTCCTTTATCTTTTATTATATTATATACTTGTATCCTTGGGAGATTTACATTTTATTAACAATACAATATTTAAAAGTTACCGAGCTTAGCAAATTCTTGGTCTATGTTATATTATGTAAAAATGTGATGATAAAGTGGTTTTGCAATCAAATGAACTGAGGTTTGAATCCTGCCTCTGCTCTCACTAGCCATGTGATCTTAAGCAAGTTTTTTTCTCTCAGTCTTAATCTTTCCCCTAACCCTGCCTTCCTTTTTTATTTTATTTTATTTTTTTTTTTTGGTTAAAGAACTAGTTAGAAGAGTTAGGCCAAATTATAGAGGATATTGAAAACTGGGTAGAATTGTTGATATTTGACAAAGAATGTATTTGATTTTTGAATATTTGAAGGTGAATGAGAGGCAATAAAAGGAAGAGTTGATGCAGAGTCTGGAATCACGGAGGCTGCTGAGGAGGTCCTTAGGGAGAACAAGCATCAGGGCCATGAATGAGTTGGTCTTGGAGAGGAAGTATGGATTGGTAGATCCCATTTGTAAATAAAGTTAACTGAACAGAGTAATTCACATAATAGTCATTTCAGAATCTGAAAACATTGTGTTGGAAGACTTGAGTATCAAGTGCATTAAATCTGCTTCCCTCATTTCACAAGAAAACCAAGGCTCAGAGAGATTTGTGATATGTTCAGATTGTTGTGGCTAAGCTAGGAGAGATCCAAGACGAGAACTCCCACACCCCACTCATAGCCCACTGCCATTTTCACCATTTTCTGCTTTTCTCAGAAAGGAGTCTCCAGGAATTTAAGATACCCAGTGCTTTCTTTGAATTAGGTTTCCTAATACAATCAAAAGGTTATAGTGATATTTTAATGAAATTTTTAATGTGATTTTGACTCTCATGCAGCCAGAAAACTTTCTTTTATTAAGCCTGGCTTTATTAAGCCTCTTAGTACTTCTGCCATTTTTTGTTTCACCTCTTTCACATTGGCAAAATGCTTCCCTTTGCAGACTTTTTTCATCTGGGAAACAAAAAAAGTTGTTCTGGGTAAGATTGGGAGAATAGGGAGGGTGGGGCACAGGGGTCATACTGTTTGGGGTCAAAAACTGCTGAAAATTCAGCGTGGTGTGGGCAGGTGATTTAAATCACCCATGAATCACTTGTCATGAAATGGGCAACATGTTGAAAGAATCTCCCCCCAAAAGTTCACTGAAGCCGAGCATAGCTTCTCACTATAATAATGGTAGCTGGTACACTAATGCCATTGGGTTCCTAGAACACTTACCTAGCATGGAAATCTGTACTACAAGGTGCCTGCCCTCCAAAAAATGATTCCGTGATCTCTCTTTGTAAGAGGGGACCCTCATCTAGGCTGGGCAGAGTTGATGCAGTGTTAAGTTCTGACTAGAGTCCATCGTGGCGTTTCTGGTTCAACAATCGTTAAGTACAACTTACTTTGTGTGAGTTGACCACAGAAATAGGTTAAGGTTATTGTTTTAAAAGAACTTTGTGTACTTCTCCTACTTTTTGCTCTTCTTTAATTTCTGCATTTTCTCTAGAGTAGGTATTTTATTACCGAAAAAGTATTTAATTTTACAGTCATATAAAAGTCACACAGAACTGTAGTTTTGGATTGTTTTTGATAGAATCCTCAGACGTTGCAGTTGATATCTAAAAAGAAGTCACTGGCTGGAGCAGCACAGATCCTACTGAAGGGGGCAGAAAGACTGACTAAATCAGTTACCGAAAACCAAGAAAACAAGCTACAAAGAGATTTCAATTCTGAGCTTTTGCGATTAAGGCAACACTGGAAACTTAGAAAAGTTGGAGATAAAATTCTTGGAGATCTGAGCTACAGAAGTGCAGGTATAGATACTTGTTGAAACTATGCTTTGTGTAAGTACAGTGTTACACATCCTTCTATAATAAATCGTTTCTCAGCTACATGTTACATTTGAAATTTTTAATTTTTTTTTTCCTTTGGCTCGGAGTCTTACTCTTTTGCCCAGACTGGAGTGCAGTGTCACATTCACGGCCACCACAACCTTGGCCTGCAGGGCTCAGGCAATCATTTCTCCTCAGCCTTTCAAATAGCTGGAACTACAGGCATGCACCACCATGCCTGGCTAATTTTTTGTAGTGATGAGATCTCGCCAAGTTGCCCAGGCTGGTCTTGAAGCTGTGGGCTCAGGCAGTCCTTTCACCTCAGCCTCCCAAAGTGCTGGGATTATAGGTGTGAGTCACCACACCTGGCTGAAATTTCAGTTTTTATTCACATACTCATCATAGCCTTTATAATAGCGTAGTTTCAATTTCAAAACCTTTTAGATGCATGTAACAGAAAGTTTAAAGGTGAGGTTTATGTGCTAACACATTCTGAACCATAGTTGACGTTTTAGTTAAAAATGACGTTTGAAGGCCTTATTTGTAACCCTTAAAAATTGGACATGAAAGAAGAGAAGAAGCCGGGCTCGGTGGCTCAGCCTGTAATCCCGCGCCTTTCGGAGGCTGAGGTGAGTGGATTGCTTGAGCCTGCAGGTTCGAGACCCACCTGGGCAGGCGAGACCTCATCTCTACAATAAATCAAAAAATTACCCGGGCGTGGTAGCACATGCCTGTAATTCCGACTACTTGAAAGCCTGAGGCTGAAGGATCACTGGAGCCCAGTATGTCCGGGAGCGGCCACTGCACTCCAGTCCGGGCAACAGAGTGAGACTCCAACTCAAAAAAAAAAAAAGAAACATTTCTTCCATATTCTTTTTTCCTCATTAGTCTGCTAAGCTGTTTTCAGGTCTTGAATAAAACACTTTGCTTTCCCCTTTCCCATTTAATTGAAGTCGTAACACTAACTCAAGGAATGTACTTTTCTGGAGTGTACTAAAGTTTGATGATGTTGAATTCTGATCTTTTGTTGTAAATTCCTTGTTGTTGAACTATAATAGCAGGTTTTACAAGGTAATAATGGCAGTGTAAGCTGCTGTGGTAATCAGAGGGGCTGTATGGGAAAAGTTTATAAGGTTCATAGCTCAGTGGGCTAAAAGCTTTAAATGCCAAGGGATGAGACAAAGAGCCTTGGCTTTGATAGTTTAAATCCATAGTAGTGTTATCGAAAAAGGACTTGTTTGCCAGAGCAAGCCTTCATTATCCTAAAATTAGAAGAAGGTAATTTGAGTTGGTTAAGTCAAATACTGGTAGCCCTAAGTGCTTCAGCATTGGTGTGAACCGGAATGATTTGAATTCTGAAGTAAAATCCCATTACAAAGATGAATTCAATATGATAAGTCTTTTTTTTTAAAAGCAGGATTTATTGAGAGGACAGAAAAGCTCCCTCAGTGGGAGGGGACCCTAGGGGGTTGCCCTATAAGTCCATTTTTAAATGCCAACATGTGGCGTGTAGTAGCAGTGCTTTCTGGTTTTGGACATTATAACTTCCAAAACAATTATGTGTAGCAGTTTTACTTAATTTCTCTCTTTGGGACAGTTGTTCGCAGTTATGAAATGATTTAATTACATTATTCTCTGTTATTAAATTTTTTTAACTTTAATTTTTTGAGTCAGGTCTCTGTCACTCAGGCTGGAGTGCAGTGGCACCATTACAGGTCACTGTATCCTTGACTTCCTGGGCTCAGGTGATCTTTCTGCCTCAACCTCCCAAGTAGATGGCACTATGGGTGTGCGCCACTACACTCAGCTAATTTTTCTATTTTTTGTAGAGATGAGATCTTGCTTTGTTCCCCAGGGTAATCTCAAACTCCTGGACTCAAGCAGTCTTCCCACCTCAGCCTCCCAAAGTGCTGGGATTACAGGTGTGAGCCACTGTGCCCAGCCTTCTTTAATGTATCGACAGAGTTGTGGTCTTGCTGTGTTGTCCAGGCTGATCTTGAACTCCTGGGCTCAACTGATCCTCCCTCCTCAGCCTTCTAGAATATCAGGATTATAGGCATAAGCCACTGTACCTGGCCTGCATTGTTTTTAATTGCAGGAAGATCTTTAACATTGTTCTTTGTTATAAAACAGCGGTTACAGGCTGTTGGGAGGCTAAGCTGGGAGGATTGCTTGAGCGCAAAAGTTCAAGATTAACCTGGGCAAATAGTGAGACCCTGTCTCTACAAAAGAAAGTTAAAAATATTAGCTGAGTGTGGTGGTCCGCACCTGTGGTCCTACTTGGCAGGCTGAGGCAGGAGGATCACTTGAGGCCAGGAGTTTGAGGCTACAGTAAGCTTTGATCATGCCCCTGCATTCCAGCCTGGGCAACAAAGTGAGACCCTGTCTCAAAACAAAAACAAAAGCAAGCAGTTACATTCAGCCACCCACTTCTCACATAATTCAGCAGCCCAGACAACTTACTCAAACTTCTGAGCCAGGACGTAACATAAAAATCTAGAAATTATTGAATAAGAGGTGTCATGTGCACTATGAACACTTTGGTTACAGACTTATTAGAAGGGCTGAGTGGCAAAAGTATTTCACCGCTAAGGTTTAAATCTGAAGAATTATTTTCTAAGAGTATACTTATCTCTATCAAACTCCATTAGAATAAAACAGTTTGAATAGCCTGTGAAGTTTGTACTGTCATGATATTGTTAGACTAAGGAGTGTTTATACCTTTTTTCCATGTTTTCTGTCTTCTGTTTGCTCACCACTCTTTCCCCTTCTCCCCAAATATATATGTTTTTAGTGGGAACTTAATCTGCGATTCAGTGATGTGGATGTGAAGTGTTACATGCTTAATATCATATGTTAAATTAATGTTACCTGTTTTCTATTTTCCTATTTTTAATGCCCCATTAGGATCTCTCTTTCCCCATCATGGTACATTTGAAGTAATAAAGAATACAGATATTGATCTGGATAAAAAGATACCTGAAGATTACTGTTCCCTTGATGTGCAAATTCCTAGTGATTTGGAGGGATCTGCATATATCAAGGTATTTGTCAGTATTTTTTTAAGTAATTTCTGATTAATAGCCTTGAAGCTAATTTACTAACTTTTTTGGTTTTTATTGTTATATAGGTTTCAATTCAAAAACAGGCCCCAGATATAGGTGATCTGGGCACAGTTAACCTCTTCAAACGGCCTTTCCCCAAATCCAAACCAGGTGTGTTTATGTTTTATCCTCTAACTTGTGGTCTTATCTGAGCTTACATTTTAAAGTAAACTGATAGGAAAAATAGGTGCTCTGTAGTAAAGAATAATTGGAGGTATACTTTTTACTTTTTTCTTTGAGTAGGAGTCTCTTTCTGACCACCAGGCTGGAGTATAGTGGCATGCTCATTGCCACCGCAGCCTCTACCTCCTAGACTCAGGAGATCCTTCTGCCTCAGCCTTCCGAGTTGCTGAAGCCACAGGCGCGTGCCACAACACCCAGTTAATTTTTTGATTTATTGTGGAGACTAGGTCTCACTAAGTTGCCCAGGCTGGTCTCAAACCCCTGGACTCAGGCAAGCCTCTCACATCCTCCTCCTAAAGTACTGAGATTACAGGCGTGAGCCACCACACCCGACTGGAAGTACACTTTTAATATTTGTTAATAAACCATTAATGATTAGCTGTGCAATTTTTTTTTATTGGACTTATTTACTAGTTTTCTGTGTAAAAGAAGTGAGATTTTTATATTTTGGAAAGAATAATAAAGCATCTTACAAAATTTTGTCATATATTCAGATTACCATTTAAGCTAGCAAGGTTGGATAATTAATATATACATATATTCCTTCTCTTTCAGGTTCCCCACATTGGCAGACAAAATTAGAAGCAGCTCAGAATGTTCTTTTGTGTAAAGAAATTTTTGCACAGCTCTCTCGGGAAGCCGTTCAAATTAAATCACAGATCCCTCACATTGTGGTGAAAAACCAGATTATCTCTCAGCCCTTTCCAAGTAAGAGCAGCTAACCCTTTTGAGATTTTATAAACAGGACTTTGTGATTTGAAGAATTGGATAGAGGGGATAGCTGTTTGGGTGAATAATAAGAGCAAAGAGGTAGTATGCTATCAATAATGGCTTCCACTAAAGTGTATAACACAAACTACACAGCTAATTTTTTTTTTTTTTTTTGCCTTGGAGTCTCACTCTGTTGCCCAGGCTGGAGTGTAGTGGCACGCTCATGGCCACCCCAGCATCGACCTGCTGGGCTCCAGCAATCCTGCCACAGCCTTCCAGGTAGCTGAAACTACAGGCATGCACTACCATGCCCAGCTAATTTTTTATTTATTGTAGAGACAAAGTCTCACCAAGTTGCCTGGTTAACTGTTTTCTATTAACTGGTCTCGGACCAGTTAACTGTGGTCTCGGACCCATGGGCTTTGGGAGTCTACTCGCCTCAGCATCCCAGAGTGCTGGGATTATAGGCTGACCCTCCGAGCCTGGCCTATGCTGCCAATTCTGTTCTGTGTCCTAAATGGTGTGACTCCTGGATTTTTAAAACTGTCTATTAAAAATTTGCTCTAGCAGAGCTACTGTTTAGCAGCATTTACTTTGAAGTGAGAGATTCTTTCTTCTATCTAAATAAGATATCAGAAAATGCACACTAGGCTGAGCGTGATTGCTTACACCTAAAATCCTGGCACTTTGCAAAGCTAAGGCAGGAAGATTGCTTGAGGCCAGGAGTTCATGACCAGCCTGGGCAACATATGAGACCTCATCTTCTCTACAAAAGATTTTTTGAATCTATATAAATCAACATCTATTTATTTATTAATTTTTCAGATTATTTTATTACTTTTATTTAAAGCAAAAGATTTTTTAAAAGTTTATTCATTATATTCTCAAATTTGTAGGAATTGGATTTTAATTATATTATTCAAAAGCATTTAGACTTACCCCGGAGGTCAGTTTGTACTTAGCCTTGTACTTGTTTTTGTATATACTTGCTAAGGACTGTCTTCTTAGATCTTATTAAGGAAATAGATATTAGTGATTAAAAAAAAAATCCTACTTCTCATGGGAGCCCAGAAGAGTGTCTGTCTTCTACTCAGTAAGACCAGATACCAAATCTTATTTTAAAGAAATAAAATATATAGCTTTTGTTGCCAGTCTTCAGCCACAGCTCTAGGCAACAGCCATATTATAGCTTAACAGAAATTGAACTGCTAAAATACATGGTAGTTTATTATGTTCATGAATGGTCATTTTGGTGTAAAAATGTTACTTATGAGGCCTGATCTTCAAGTTTAGAATCTATCTTTTGAGAATGGACTGTGATTATTCTTTATGAAGAGAGTTTGTACCTTTCCATATTTTAGGTTATTTGCTTCTGTCCTATTCTTTTTTATAAATAGGCTTGCAGTTATCTATTTCTTTATGCCATTCCTCAAATGATAAGAAATCCCAAAAATTTGCTACTGAGAAGCAAAGTCCGGAGGACCACCTTTATGTCCTGGAGCATAATTTGCATCTACTGATTAGAGAGGTAATGAAATAAATGTCTTTCTTGCATTGTAGGAACATATACAGGACAGTGAATATGCGCAGTCACCCTGCCCCCGAGTCTTGTTCATTCACAGCAGCATTCCCTATCTGATGTGAAAGATACTTGCTGTGTGCTGAGGAAATACAGAGTTCATCAGAATACAGTCCCTGTGCCCAAGCATACCTCCTAGTGGTAGAAATATAACACCTTTTATAGTAAAATTGTAAGAAGCACAAACTAAAGGCTGCAGAGGAAAGGGTGATCAAAGGGCTAAGGGAAAATGTCTTGTTGGAGTCTGAAGAGAATAGTGGGATTACTTCAGGACATACTCTACTTACAGGTCATCTACTACTGTGTGTCCAGACTGCTGGTTCAGTTTATGCTAATTTCAAAAGAGTCTCCTGTGCAACTTCATAGCAGTACATATTACAGCCTCCCCTGCCCTGCCCTGCCCTGCCCCAGAGTCTGGTCCAGTTGATTGTAGAAGAGTCTGTGTTTTTAAGAAGCTCCTCAGGTTGCTGAGAGGCAACCAGGCTTGGGAACCTCTGATCTAGGGTATAGTGGAATAATTTTGCTGATTGCATATATTCTGTTGTGATTCAGTGGAGAATGTTGTTTTATATTTTAAGACTTTTAAAATACAAAGCCTTAGCCAGGCTCGGTGGCTCAGCCTGTAATCCCGCGCCTTTGGGAGGTTGAGATGAGTGGATTGCCTGAGCCCGCAGGTTCAAGACCTGCCTGGGCAACTTGGCAAGACCTCATCTCTATAATAAATCAAAAATCAGCGGGGCGTGGTAGCGCGCGCCTATAGTTCCAGCTACTTGGAAGGCTGAGGCGGAAGGATCGCTGGAGCCCAACAGGTCGAGGCTGCGGTAGCCAGGAGCAGCCACTGCACTCCAGTCTGGGCGACAGAGTGAGACTCCCAACTCAAAAAAAAAAAAAAAATACAAAGCCTTAAGTTCCTTTTGTGTTTAAAAGCATGATGATTAGGTGTTCATTCTCATGTGTGAGATGTGGCTGCCTCACACCTCATTAAGACATCAGTACCTTACTTACCTGACATGAGAAAAGGAAAAAAAGAAAACAATCACAGCTTGGGAGGGACCCCTGTCTTTATAAACTTGCATTTTGTAGCCTAATAGGTGCTAGCATTATCTCCATGCCAGGATTGTTTTCATATGTAGTTCAAATGTATTGCTTTCAATATTTCCAAGGTGTGAGCCATGTTTTGATTAAATATTGTGCAGCACTTACTGTGTGGGTATTGCTCATTTAAAATGGCTGTTTTTGTCAGTTTCATAAACAGACCTTGAGTTCCATCATGATGCCTCATCCAGCAAGTGCACCTTTTGGCCACAAGAGAATGAGACTTTCGGGTCCCCAAGCTTTTGATAAAAATGAAATCAATTCATTACAGTCCAGTGAAGGGCTTCTGGAAAAAATAATTAAACAAGCAAAGCATATTTTTCTGAGGAGTAGGTAAGATTAAAGTTACTGTTTTTTCTTTGACATTGCAGTCTGTTTTCCTTCATGATTTCATATACTTTTGAGGGGATGCTTTAACTTTTCTTTTTTCCCAGAGAGAGGAAGGAGGCTACAGTGTAAGAGTTGATGGTCATAGGCTGGGTGCTGTCAAATATGAGCAAGACTGGATCCATGACCAGTCTAACAATATGTTAGTTCTAACCCTGGAAGCAAAAATTTTGCAGAAACAACTGACTAGAAATGGGCCTTACAACATTATGATTTCTTCAGTAGCCCAGCCATGAGATACTTATTTCTGAGCTGATATAAATTTATTTTGAAGCTTTCTGTGTTTTTTGGTTGCTGCACATTTATTTATTTATTTTTGAGTTGGAGTCTCACTCTGTCTCTCAGCCTAGAGTGTAGCAGCAGGATCATGACTCACCTTAGCCTGAGTCTCCTGGGCTCAGGTGATCCTTCTGCCTCAACCTCCCAAGTGACTGGGGCTACAGGTACATGCCAACACTTCTGCCTAATTTTTTAAATTTTTGCTGTGTGCTGAGGGAATATGTGAGGGGAAAGCTATGTGGCTCAGGCTTGTCTTGAACTCCTGAGCTCAAGCAGTCTTCCTGCCTCAGCCCTCTGAAGTGCTGGGATTACATGCATGAGCCACCGTGCCTGGCCTCTTGCACATTTTAGGGTTTGGAAGGCACTTTCCAAAATGTTGCTTTACTTAATCCTTGTTCTTTGGGATAGATAGTGTTAAACCACATTTTTACTGATGAGAAGATTGAGGCTTAGAGAAGTTATGTAACTTGCTCAAGGTTTCACGTCAAAAGATAACAATACAAGGATTTATGCTCAGGTCTGTGTAACTCCAAAATTCATTTTCTTTCTTTTATGTACGTTGTTTACAGAAGAACTTGTCGTGATTTGGACAAAAGTGTATCTTTTTCAGTGCTAAAAGATGCTTTTCTTCTGCTTTTTTTTTCCTTCCCAAGTCAGGTCTTACTCTGTTGTCCAGGCTGGAGTGCAGTGGCATGATCATGGCTTACTGTAGCCTCAACCTCCTGGGCTCAAGGGATCCTCCAGCCTCAGCCTCCCGCGTAGCTGGAACTACAGGCGTGAACGACCATAGCCAGCTCATTTTTTAATTTTTTTGATTGTAGAGACATGGTCTTGCTGTGTTTCCTAGGCTAGTCTTGAACTCCTGGGCTCAAGCAATACTCTCACCTTGGGCTCTAAAGACAAGTGTCAGCCACTGTGTTCAGCCTAAAGGATGCTTTTCTATTTTATTATTAATACTTGATGAAGAGGTCTGTTTTTACTGCATTTGTAATTGAGCCTTGATAGTATATCAGAATTTCAGGCATGGTTACATTGTTGTTAAATAGATATTTTATTTCTGGTTTCCAGTTTTTGATTGTTAATGTAGTTACCGTTTTATTAGCATATTAGTTTGTAGTCCTGGAGTGGAAATTTAGATCCTGCAGTTTTTTGTTTGTTTCTTTTTGGGGGTTTTTTTGAGTCAGAGTCTCACTCTGCTGCCTAGGCTACAGGGGCAGTGGCACCCTTACGGCCACCGCATCCTCGACCTACTGGGCTCAGGCAGTCCCTCCGCCTCAACCTTCCAAGTAACTGAAACTACAGGCACGCACCACCATGCCCAGCTATTTATTTATTTATTTATTTATTTATTTATTTATTTATTTATTTATTGTAGAGATGAGGTTTCGCTAAGTTGCCCAGGCTGGTCTCCAACCCATCGGCTCAGGCAGTCCTCTCACCTCGGCCTCCCAGAGAGCTGTGATTATAGGCGTGAGCCACCATGCCCAGCCAGGTCCTGTAGCTTTTAGTAAAAGGAATTAGGAAGACATATTAGAGAAGACAGCATGACAGAATGAAAGAAGTAGGGAACTGAAGGTGAAAGATGTGTTCAGGTCAGGGTTCAGCTGCTTGCTAAGTGACTTGGGGCAAGGCACTTGGTTTCTATTGCCCTTCTTTATTCCTCTGTCAATAGTGGGCACAGGAGTCTGGGCTTAAGATTATATTAAATAATCATGCAGAAGTTCCCTGTAAGCAATAAAATGTATGACAAGTTACTGTTACTTCAGTTATAAAAGCGTTTATTGAGTATATTGTTAATCTTGCAGATTACTGATTGACGACAAAGTTAAATATTCCCTGAAATAAATGAAGGGCATAGAAATAGCTATCTTGAGAACCATTATAAATTTTTTTTCTTAATTTTTTGTAGAGAAAAAATGGGTTGATCTAAAGCTCCTGGGCTCAAGCAGTTCTCCCAGGTTGACCTCCCAAAGTACTTGGATTACAGGCAGGAGTCACTGCACCCCTCCCAGAACCATTAAAAAACTTTAGAGTAGTATAGCCCTGGAAGCAGCAAAGCTTTAAAAATGCTACTTTCCCATAGTCACGGAAATAATGTTCTAGTGTACAAAAGTTAACTGAAGAAAAAGGACAGATGTGTATAATACCATGCACAGTGAGCTCTAATTAACATGCTTATATATTTTTATATATGTGTGTGTCAGGGTGTGTGTATCTGTTTTTTAAAAAATCCAAGATCATAACATTTTATATTCTGATTTGTACTTGATGATAGAGGAAGCCAAAAAAAAAAACAACAACAAATTTTACATCCTGTCTTTAATATTATATTGTAAATTTTAAAATATGTGCTTAAATACTTTTCAAACCTTTAATAGGTATGCTGGCCAGCCCACCTCCCATGTGGCAACAAGTTAAAAAAAAGTTGTGCAATATCTTCTTATGTGAACATTTCATGATTTCTTCCCCCCATTCTCAATTGCTATATTTTTATTTTCAGTTTGTCTTATTTATTTACTTATTTTTAAGTCAGGGTCTCACTCTGTCGTCCAGGCTGAGTGCATTGTCACCATCATGGCTTACCGCACCCTCAAACTCCTGGGCTCAAGCAATCCTTCTGCCTCAGCCTCCCAAGTAGCTGGGTCTATAGGCACATGCCACCACACCTGACTAATTTTTGGATTTTTTTTGTAGAGATAAAGTTTCACTATGTAGCCTAGATTGGTATTTCCAGTTTATTGAGACATGTGATGCTATGCAGAACATTCTCACATATGTATCAGTCTGCTGTAGGAGTTTTGAAGCACTGTCAGGGAAGCAAATCAAGGAAAAAGAAAGCAAGTTTGAGTGTGGATTGTAAGAAACCAATTCTAGAGCAGCAGTGCAAAAGCAAACCCTAAGACTGCTGATGTAAAGCCCCTTGTCCCCACTGATAGTTCTTACTTTTTCCCATCTTTTCCAGGCTTTTCTTTCTCTTTCCAATAAATACTGTGCTAGAATCAGATGATTATCGCTAGAAACGAGTGGTTTGGCTAATTGACGTGATTTGTGCTTTGGTTCTAAGCGGTGGCTGTTGGTTAGTGTGTCTGAATCATACAGGAAAGATTACTGGCTTTGGAGTTAGACGGATTTTGTATCCCTGCATACAGCTATGTGACCTTGGGCAAATTGCTAAACTTCTTTTTTCTCTTCTGAAAATTGAAGATAATAGGGCATGCCTACCTAACCTCAGGGTTGTTAGTAAGATTAATGATAAAATTCATGAAAGCATGTGTTACAATTCTTAATACAAAATGAGCACTTGAATCTTATTTCACATTTGTATTTATCATATTTTTTCTTTCTTGGTGTATAAGGTTTGGATTGCATTAAAAGTCCCTAGCTTCTTTTGAATATGATTATAATTCCATTACAGTAATGGGTCAAGCTGTGGGTGTGTCCCAAGTCCTTTGTTACCAAGTACCAACATTTATGCTTGATTTGTATTAGGTTTAGTCCTCTATTAGTAGCCTCACTTGTGTCTCCATAAGCTTTCTGAGTGGGAGAAAACGGAGTTAAAAGAGGATAAGCCCATCATGAATTGTGATAATCAGGAGTCTGTGATGAGAGAATGTTCTCATGTGAAGCTGAGAAACGAGTACACAGCACAGTGTGAAAGAGGTTCTCAGAACTGCCTCTACCTTTCTTTGAAAGTTGTGCTTTTCAGATGGTGATCTTTTTATTTTTATTATTTATTTATTTTTCAAGTGCTTACTCTATTGCCTGGGCTAGAGTGCAGTGGCACAATCATGGCTCACCGGAGTCTTGACCTCTTGGACTCGGGTGATCCTTTCACCTCACCCTCCCAAGGAGCTGGGACTTCTGGCATATGCCACCACACCAGGCTAATTTATTTTTCCTTTTTTAGAGACAAGGTCTCACTATGTTGCCCAGGCTGGTCTTGAATTCCTGGACTCCCACCTTGACCTTCTCCCACCTTGACCTTCCAAAGTGGATTACAGGCTTGAGCCACCTCGTCCGGCCTCAGATGGTGATATTTTATTTTTCATTTATTTATTTTTTGAGTCAGTTTCACTCCGTCGCCCAGGCTAGAGTGCCAGTGGCACAGTCAGCTACTGTACTTTCAAACCTGCTGTGCTCAGGAATCCTTCCGCCTCAGCCATCCAAGTAGCTGGAACTACAGGTGTGTGCCACCATGCCCAGCTAATTTTTTGATTTATTGTAGGGACGAGGTCTTGTCAGGTTTCCCAGGCTGGTCTCGAATCCCTGGAATCAGGCAATCCTCTCACCTCTGCTTCCCAAAGTGCTGGGATTACAGGCATGAGCCACCACACCCAGCCAAGTGGTGATATTTTTAAAAAGTAGTTTCTAGTTTTCAAATTTTCATAAAATTGATGAGTAATTTATAGTCCTGTTGTTTCATAGGGTAACTTTTAACTTTTTTTTTTTTTTTTTGAGAACTGCTGCGACCATTGACAGCTTAGCGAGCCGAATTGAGGACCCTCAAATACAGGCTCACTGGTCAAACATCAATGATGTCTATGAGTCTAGTGTGAAGGTTTTAATCACCTCCCAAGGCTATGAGCAGATATGCAAGTAAGTGCCAAAATTATAAGAGTTATGCATTTAACATGTTAAGTTGTTTTTTATGTATTGATATTTGCTGAGTGATTATGGTTTTTATTTGCTAGTGTGGCATAACATTTCTGTAAATTAAATAAACTGTAGAGTGCTTGGTTTTTGTTTTGCTTTGACGGCAGTTAGTTCTTAACAGGAGATAATTCAGAAGGTCTGTTTTTAAACATTGTAAGGATGAGAGGTAAGGATGTCTATGAAATAGTCTGTTAGGTAAACGTTGTGAGCTGTGGTGAAAATGAACCCCAGCACTGAACAGAAAGCTCCCTGTCCTTAGATGCCAGGTCTGCTTCCATGCCTGCCTAGTGGCTGTGGCAAGTTGAGCACATTTGAAGTAAGTAGGGCCATTTATTTTGGAGCTTGTACTCTGTATTATGCCTAAAACGGCCAAGTTTTGTAGCTTTCCCCTGACCTGGTGTCCGAGGGGGCAAAGTGATTTTTGTCCCCAGCATTCATAGGGATACAATCTACTCAATTTACATCCACAAATTACAAGTTAATACAAATGACTAGTAGCCATCAAAGGGTGTTTTGAGCCTCATTGACTTTTTTTTTTTTTCTTTTCTGAGTTGGAGTGTTACTCTGTCGCCCAGGCTGGAGTGCAGTAGCACTCTGACAGCCACTCCAGCCTCGACCTGCTGGGCTCAGGAGATCCTTCCGCCTCAGCCTTCCAAGTAGCTGGAACTAGAGGCATGTGCCACCATGCCTGGCTAATTTTTTGATTTATTGTAGAGATAAGGTCTCACCAAGTTGCCCAGGCTGCTCTCGAATCGATGGGCTCAAGCAGTCCTATCACCTCAGCCTCCCAAAGTGCTGGGATTAGAGGTGTGAGCCACCACGCCTGGCTGAGCCTCATTGAAATTTAACAACTGCCAAGGTATAGCTTTATTTCAGACAGACCTAATTAGCCACAGTGAAGCAGTACACATTGAAACACAAAATGACCTGCCTTAGGAGTAGGGGCAGAAAATACATTTATTTATTTTTTTATTTGAGTTGGAGTCTCACTCTGTCGCCCAGATTGGAGTGCAGTGGCCGCTCCCGGCCACCACAGCCTCGACCTGCTGGGCTCCAGCGATCCTTCTGCCTCAGCCTTCCAAGTAGCTGGAACTACAGGCGCATGCTACCATGCTCAGCTGATTTTTGATTTATTGTAGAGATGAGGTCTCGCCAAGTTGCCCAGGGGGTCTCGAACCCGCGGGCTCAGGCAATCCACTCACCTCAGCCTTCCAAGGTGCGGGATTACAGGCTGAGCCACTGAGCCCGGCAGAAAATACATTTATAAGGCCGTTTTTTAATGTGGAGTTTTAATTCACTTTTAAAAAATGAAAAATACAAGCTCAAATAACAGAGCATAAAACAATCCACAGTGGGAAGGAAATTCATCTTGAGACCTCCAGAGAAAGATGGAGTGAAGCTGCATTGTAGTTTTCTTCCCCTGTACCTAAAGAAATAATAAAATAATTGGGGTGATTTGGGGCTGAGGTGAGAGGAGTAGGTGTTGAATGCAGATGAAACAAGCTTGGCCTAAGCTTTTAACTAAGACTGGATGATGCAATTACAGGCTTTCATTAGACTGAAATCCACTTCTGTGTTTAAAATTTTCCATAATAAAAAGGAATGAGTGAGTGCAGTGGAAAGGACAAGGAAAATTATCAGAGTTGAATTGTGTATGTTCAGAACCTAGACCCGAACAGTCCTTCGATATGGTTACAGGACCCAAATAAATGTTCCACATGTCCATGAAGAAGGGTTAGTGATGATGCAACCTTGGCAGAAGTGGTAGAGTGTCCTTTTTCCTCTTTTATGTCGGGATCAGTTCATGCTGTTCAAAGCTGGAAGTGGTTCTCAGAAGTCCTCAGGCATCATTTAAAATAGTTTCTTACATCTTTCTAGGAAAGTCTATGCATTTACAACCATAGGTGTCCTACCTGTACCCTAACTCTTTTTCCAGTTTTGTGTGCTTTTAAAAACTATTGAGATGAAATTCACATAACAGAATTCACAATTTTGAAGTGTACACAGTTCGTTGATTTTTGCTCTTATGTTATAGAACCATCATCACTACTGAATTCCAGAGCTCTTCCATTACTCTAAAAACAAACTCTGCGTGTTAGCAGTCATTTGTTTTGTGTGTGTGTGTGTGTGTGTTTTTAACTCAGTAGATTTTTTTTTTCTGAGTTGGAAGTCTCACTCTGTTGCTCAGGCTAGAGTGCAGTGGCCGCTCCCGGCCACCGCAACCTCGACCTGCTGGGCTCTGGCGATCCTTCCGCCTCAGCCTTCCGAGTAGCCGGAATTACAGGCGCGTGCTACCACGCCCGGCTAATTTTTTGATTTATTGTAGAGATGAGGTCTCGCTGCCCAGGCGGGTCTCGAACCCGCGGGCTCAGGCAATCCACTCACCTCAGCCTCCCAAAGGCGCGGGATTACAGGCTGAGCCACCGAGCCCGGCTGCAGTGGAACTCTTACAGCCACTGCAGCCTTGACCTACTGGGCTCAGGTGATCCTTCTGTCTCAGTCTTCCAAGTAGCTGGAACTACAGGCACACGCCACCATGCCCGGCTAATTTTTTTATTTATTGTAGAGATGAGGTCTCGCCAAATTACCCGGGCAGGTCTTGAACTCATGGGCTTAGGCAATCTTCTTACCTCGGCCCTCCAAATTACTGGGATATAGGCGTAAGCCACCATGACCACCAGTAGAATATTTTTATTAAAACTTGTGCAGGTAAATTTAATGGTCAGAACAAAATGGAATCATTCAGGAAAAGCTACAGAAAATGCTTTGCAAAGTAGTAGATCCTTTTTATATTCACCATTTTTGTTTATTTTTTTCTGAGTTGGGGTCTCTGTCACCCAGGCTGGAGTGCAGTGGCACCGTCCCCACTCACTGCAGGTTGGGCCTCCTAGACTCCAGTGATCCTTCCATCTCAGCCACCTGAGCAGCTACAACTATAGGCAGGTACTGCCACGCCTGGTCTTATGTTCACTGTTTCAGCAGAGTTTAAACTATGTGATTATTCTATTAATATACTCTTCTGAGTTAAGATTATTCAGATGGCCATAAGGCCCAGAAATCCAGGCACGTACGCCTAGTAAGTAATTTATTGCTTCCTAGTCTTGTATTGGTGGAGAAGAATTTCTCGTCAGCATATTCTTTATATACCAAGACTTTTAATCAATATTCTGTTGATGAATATTTTTGTTGGATGTCAATAAAATAATTGGCACATGGGCAAATATATTTATTTATAGAATAAAGTCCCGCAGATGTAATTGCTGGGTCAAAAGATAAGGATATTTAATTTTTTTTTTTTTAATGGAGAGTAGGGTCTCGCTCTGTTCCCCAGGCTGTTCTTGAACTCCTGCCTTGACCTCCCAAAGTGCTGCTATTATAGGCATGAGTCATCGTGCCTGGCCAGAATGTTTAAGCATTTAATTAAAAGTTTCCAAATTGGCCGTGCTTGGTGGCTCAGCCTGTAATCCTGTGCCTTTGGGAGGCTGAGGTGAGTGGATTGCCCAAGCCCGTGGGTTCGAGACCCGCCTGGGCGGGCGAGACCTCATCTCTACAATAAAATCGAAAAAAATTAGCCGAGTATGATAGCACGCACCAGTAATTCCAGCTATTCGGAAGGATCGCCGGAGCCCAGCAGGTCGAGGCTGCGATGGCCGGGTGTGGCTACTGCACTCTAGTCTGGGCGACAGAGTGAGACTCCAACTCAAAAAAAAAAAAAAAGTTTCCAAATTATTCTTTAAAGTGGTTGCCACAAGTATGCTTTCACCAATAGTGAGTGCCAAGAATTCCTGTTTTTCATGCCCTTGTTTTTTGGGGGTTTTTTTTTTTTGAGTTGGAGTCATTTTTTTTGTTTTTTTGAGTTGGAGTCTCACTCTGTTGCCCAGACTGGAGTGCAGTGGCCGCTCCCGGCCACCACAGCCTCAACCTGCTGGGCTCCGGGGATCCTTCCGCCTCGGCCTTCCAAGTAGCTGGAACTCAGCCTCAACCTGCTGGGCTCCGGGGATCCTTCCGCCTCGGCCTTCCAAGTAGCTGGAACTACAGGCACGTGCTGCCACGCTCGGCTCATTTTTTGATTTATTGTAGAGATGAGGTCTCACCAAGTTGCCCAGGTGGGTCTCGATCCCGCGGACTCAGGCAATCCACTCACCTCAGCCTCCCAAAGCGCGGGATTACAGGCTGAGCCACTGAGCCCGCCTCATGCCCTTGTTTTAAATAAAGAATTTAAATTTTTGGTGAGATTTATAAGTCTTTTCCTTTAATCCTTTTGAGTTTTTCTGTTTTTTTCTGAAAAAACAACATACACTTTAATTCACCCAAATTACAATTTTAGCCAGGCATTATGATGCATGCCTGTAGTTCATCTACTTGGGAAGCTAAGTCAAAGAATTGCTTGAGGCCTGGAGTTTGGAGGCTGCCATGTGCTGTGGCTGCACCTCTGAATAGTTCCCATACTCCAGGGGCAACATAATGAGACCCTGGGTCTATTTAAAAAAAAGTTTTATATAGACAGTTTACCAAAATGCTTTATTTCCAAATATAAAACAGAGTTAGAAGCAATAGGTATTATCAAATGTAGAAAGACATGCTATTTTTTTCTGTATTTGTTTAAATTATTTGTCTCGGGGGGATTTTGAGTTTCTTGTAGATGTTACATGTTAATTTGGGGAGGTGTGTCCAGGCTGGTCTTGAACTCCTGGCTGGGCTCAAGCAGTCCTCCGTTCTTAGCCTGTTGTATGCTAAAATTCTGTAAGTTGTTTTGGAAGAGTGCAGTGATGTGCATGTTATTTATGGCCATTTGTGAGTTATTTGACCTAAGCTAAGTTAATAGAGTGTACATATTTTTGTATGTTGATTGTTTCATGAGGAGAAGGTAGAGTTATAAGAATTTGAGGCATCCTTTGGGAATCTGATAAAGATGTCATCTGTATTAGTAGACAGCGTTACTAATAGTAAAAATTATCCCAAATTGGTAAAGTGCATCTGAACTGGAAGCAGTTTTAGATAACCTGTGGGAATACCTTTTGACTTCCCTAGGTGAGGTGACTTAAAACTGATTGTGTCTTGTGGACACCCTGGAAACCATGCCTATGAAGTTATAAGAGCTTATGACTCTTGTGAAGAAGGAGATTTCTAAGTTAGGGACGGTCCCACTTGTACCCAACGTGGCTCTCATCTCGTTGCAGCAAAGGTTTACCACTGCTGTGTAGACAACTCCATGGCTGGCTGGAAACTATGGTCCTATATCCTTCAGAGTAGACAGACGTGGTTTGTGGTAGTCTGGGATACGTATGTTTAGTTGAACCTAAGAAGAATTCCCTTCTTCCTTGTGGATGTTGGCATATGCCGTTAAAACTGTTGTTTTCTTTTTGTTTGATATTAGGGCTTAATGTTTGTGGCCTTGTGTGATCATTTTGAGCATTTCAGACTTTTAGTATTGTGTGTCTTAAAGGTCCATTCAGCTGCAGTTGAATATTGGGGTTGAGCAGATCCGAGTGGTACACAGAGATGGAAGAGTAATTACGCTGTCTCATCAGGAACAGGAGCTACAGGATTTTCTTCTGTCTCAGGTAATAGTTGAAACTACAAGTCTTAAACCCCTTCCTCACCCAACTGCTTGAAAAGTAGTTAAAATGTATTCACTTATGTAAGAAGAAAACCATTTTTTGCGTCATTTTGTCTAATTTATAATATACACTTTACAACCTGTTAGTTGAAAGTGTTAATAACGGTCCTCGAAGTGCTTTCACTTACTTGCGTTTAAGTTGAAGGACCAGTTCTGGGACTGGCAAGTTTTTTGTTTGTTTGTTTCTTATGTTTGCCAAGGTTTACAATATCCCCAGGACCACAGGAATGTGGAGAAGTATTGTCTCTAGGAAACTAGAGGAAGGGAGCTTAGATATAAAACTGTAGGGTGGGAGGGGATGGATAATGAGAAGACTAGCAGGTGAAATGTGCATTATTCAGGGAAGGATCCACTCAAAGCCCCAACCTCACCATACACAGTCCCTGCATGTAACAAATTGCACGTGCACTCTTACATAAAGGTAAGAGTAATTCACCTCTGCAATAAAAAAGTCTATCTACTTATGCCCCATAAACTTACACAAATCAAAAACATAATGGCCATTATCCTTAAGTGGAGTGTTTTACTCTCAAGTCCTAAGAAAGAGTTTGTCATATTAAGGGCAGTAGAAAGTGATGAGCTGTACCACACACTTGCTTTGTGACCCTGGACACATTTCTGGACCTTTCTTTTCCCATCTAATAGTATTTCTACTACTTTCTTTGTGGCATTGAGATGATTCAGTGAAATACTGAATTATGGGAGAAAAGATAGGTCTTTGAAATGCTAGTGTAAGATACTATTTTCTTCACGTAAAATTTTTAAAAATAGCTAATTTCTATCTTAGAAGCAATAATCTTACATAATTTGTTTCTTTGGTGCCAAGAAATTAAAATGCCCTTGTGAAGTATGGCAGCTACTGACTGATTACATCGAAAATGGCTTTGGTCACTTTAGGTACTCATAAAATATTTTGGAATGTTGTTGGGTAGCTGCCAGGATTGATGGGAAGTCTAGAGAACACAGCTTGCAAATGAATAGGGACCTCGAAAGGATCCCTTCACCGCTGGTGGCAGAATGCAGTTTAAATCTCCCCTGTGTATTGGTGAGGGTCTTGGCGAGAAACAGGTGGCATGCTTACGAGAACAGTTTCAGGAGGGCCTGTTTACTGAAGATCCATTTACATGGTGTGGGTGTAGAGGAGCCACCAGGAGCATTGTGGTAACCTGCTGTTAGGAGTAGCCAGGTAACCCGGGGGCTCAGGAGTTACCAGCCCCAGGCCAGTGTCAAGGTGCGGGACAGGTTATAGGAACCACGAAGGGGAGAGTCCTGTAGAATAGGCCACCTGGAGAAGTCTAGCGGCCTTCTGTCAAGCGTTACAACCAGCCTTGACGACTTCACAGGGGGATACCAGAGGCGCAAATGTCTTGACCGCACTCTCCCCTGCCGTCCTGCTGGCTGTCATTGGATGGCTCCCATTTCCTGAGCCCAACCTAGAGCCTTCCAGGGCAGAAAGTACAGTGGAGAGTGGAGTTGAAGGGCAAACGGAGGATGCCCAGCACACCTGCTACTTTTAATGCCGCTCCACATTCAGCAGGCCAGGCTGGGGGCTCCAGTTGGCCAAGCTTAGGTCACGTGCCTGTGCTCAAGCCACCAGTGGGCAGGGCACGTATTGCACAGTTTTAGCTTGTGCGGGGGAAGGTGGGGTCCTGTTCCCGCCTCGTGGTAGACACAGACAGAAGGCTTCCTTAGACATAAGAGAGGGTTGCTGTGTAGCGCATGAAAGCCCGTCAACATTTGCCAGTGTGAGGTCAGGTCCCTGCAGGCGCCCATACCATTCGCTGATCACTGACATCTCCATTGTCATCCACAGATGTCGCAGCACCAGGTGCATGCAGTTCAGCAGCTCGCCAAGGTCATGGGCTGGCAGGTCCTGAGCTTCAGTAATCATGTGGGACTTGGGCCCGTAGAGAGCATTGGCAATGCCTCCGCCATCACCGTGGCCTCCCCAAATGGAGACTATGCTATCTCAGGTACTTTCTGCTGCTTTGACTGAGAAGCGTGTCTAGCTTTTTACATCTACCTTTAGAATTAACACATAGATGAAAGTAATTTATCTGTGCGATAAATGAGTCAGGGTTGTATTTACACTAAGCATTTATCTGATCATTGCTGTTACTCAACAGGAGACTATTCTTTTTCTAGAAGTTATAAGAAATGTTTAGCTGGCAGCACATTTTCCAAGGAGATAGTCTGAAAGTATCATCGGTGTTGTTAATCCTACAGTCCTAAACTTTTTTAAAAATGTGCTGTGACAAACGTGGGAATAATGACATCTGACCCTAAAAGTAGTAAAGGGATGGAACAGAGAGGGGATATATTTTATTAAGCACCTATTATGAGCGAGCTCCTTAGTGGGCATTTGCACTGACGTTATCGAGCTTACCTACACTGTCACATGATCTAGCTTACATTTGGAGTGCTCACAGATCTTCCTTTCTAGTGCACTCTAAATACTTTAGAAATATAGTCATGGGTTGCATAATGACAAGGACTCGTTCTAAGAAATGTGTTGTTAGGGGATTTTGTCATTGAGCGAACATCATAGGGTGTACTTTCACAGACCTAGATGGGGTAGCCTGCTGCACACCTCAGCTTAAACGTATAACCTGGTGCTCTTGAGTCAGGATCCTGTACAACATGTTACTATATTGAAGACTCAGCAGTTGTAAGACAGTGGTATTTGTGTATCTCAACTTAGAAAGGTACAGTAAAAATGGAGGCCCAGCCTGGGCAACAAATGAGCCATGTGGTAGCATGTAGCAGTAGTCCCAGCTACTTGGGATGCTGAGACAGAAGAATCATTTGAGCTGAGGAGTTCGAGACTGCAGTGAACTGTGATCACATCACTGCATTTCAGCCTGGGCCACAGAGAAACACTGTCGGGTTGATGCCGTTTCGACAGTGATTTGCTTCAGTGTACTTCATCTCTAAATAAGAAATAACCCTTTTCCTCTAGAACTGCTCTGACTGACTGAACCTCTTTATCCTTTTGGATCCCCATACAGAAGCTACCACTGTTGCTTAAAATACCTTTCCTTGAGATTTTTCTGGACGCATAATGAATGCTTCCTTCGGTTAGTTTCAGCTTTATTCCTCACTACTCCACCAGAGAGTGAGAGAAGCTTTCTAAACGCCTGTCTGGCCATGGTTCCCACCTATCTGCCCTGAAAAGCACTTTTTAGCAAGAATGTTTAAGCTGGTGGACAAAGTTTTTGTGTGCACAGTAGAATGAAGTTGTGGGCTTTAACCTTGTTGTTTCTAGTTTGGAAAATGAGCGTATTATGTGTTGACATTTTGGGTTTCCTCCGCAGTCCGTAATGGACCGGAAAGTGGCAGCAAGATTATGGTTCAGTTTCCACGTAATCAGTGTAAAGACCTTCCGAAAAGTGATGTTTTGCAAGACAGCAAATGGAGTCATCTCCGTGGACCATTCCGAGAAGTCCAGTGGAATAAAATGGAAGGCCGAAACTTCGTGTATAAGATGGAGCTGCTTATGTCTGCACTTAGTCCTTGTCTACTGTAATTTTTTGCAGAACAGTTTCCAGATTTTTTTTTAGAGAAGTTTAAAAAGCTTTTACTTGACGTGTTTGCAGATCAACTATAAGCACAAAGAAGAGATAGCCTCCAAAGGAGCATTGTTTTAGAAAATAACCATTAGTAAATATTGACTTCGCATTTTGAAACTTTCACTTTATCAGTGACAAGAGCTTTAAAATGCATAGTTGATGTACAATTGTGGGGTTTACAACATAGGGAGATGTAAAATAATATCTTTTTATGCAGTTAACTTGAAAATGTCACTAAAGGGCTTGAATGCTTTTTAAAATATTCCTTCTGTAATGTTGACATCAAATAAAGTGTGGTTTAAAATCTCCCAATGCTTTCCAAACTCTTAATAACCCAAATGAACTTTGTCTTTAATTGACTCATCTCATTCCACTATTCTCACAAAAATCACCTCAGAACATTTAAATACACCTAAGACCCAGCTTTCATGCAGGAATCCACTTACACTGAGCATGTCAGGCCCTTTCCCCAAAGTGTAGCAGAGTATATGCCAGAAGGAGCAGAGATGAAGCAGGGACCCCTCTCAGGGCCCTGCCAGCCCTGGCATACAGGGAAATCTTCAAGAAGTTTCTTCAAGGAGAGTTTCTCAAGGAGAATTCCAGGCACCTAGCTCTCAAACTTGTGATCCCAGCATTTTGGAAGGCCGAGGTGAGAGGATTGCCTGAGCCCAGGGGTTTGAGACCAACCTGGGCAACTTGGTGAGACCTCTTCTCTACAGTAAATCACAAAAATTAGCTGGGCATGGTGGCATGTGCCTGCTGTTCCAGCTAATTGGAAGGCTAAGGCAGAAGGATCACCTGAGCCCAGCAGGTCGAGGCTGCGGTGGCCATGAGCATGCCACTGCACTCCAGCCTAAGTGACAAACTGATTAAAAAAAAAGGAACCAGGTGTAGTGGCTCACACCTGTAGTACCAGCATTTTGGGAGACAGGCAAGAGGTATGCCTGAGGCCAGGGGTTCAAGACCACCGGGGCAACTTGGTGAGTCCAGGTATGGTGGTGCATGCATCTAGCTACTTGGATGGCTGAGGCTGATGGATCGCCTGAGCCCGGCAGGTTGAGGCTGAGGTAGCTGTGAGTGTGCCACTGCACTCCAGTCTGGGTAACAGTGAACCTCCGACTCCAAAAACAAAAACAAAAAACAGTAAGTGCGCAATCTAACAAGCAAGAAGGGAATCATAGCTTAAAACAATAGCCAAGGAAGTTAGAGCCACAAAACGTACAAAGAGAACAACTCAAAATATGTCCCTGAGTCTTTCAGAAACCTGGTCCCCCACCAAATGGAAAATGCCTCCACTGGCCTACAGACCTCAGGTGAGAGGGCACTGAGGAAAGGACCTGCGGGTGTTCCCTCTTCTAAATTTCTTCCCCAGGAATCTGGAGGAAGGATAGCCATGGGCCGGTTCTTGCCATTCCTTTCTGTTGACCCTGAGTCTTCCGACAAAGCTTCACTTATTTGACCAATCACAAGTCAGTCTTTGAATCCATATGCGACCTGGAGGCCCCCTGCTTCAAGATGCCCTTTTTAGGCCAAACCAAAGTATGGCATCTCTGCGTTGATTTATGACTCTGCCCCTAACCTCTGCCTCCCTGCCTCAAGAAACTTGGCTGTAAGCCACTGGGGAGCTTGGGTCTGGAGCAGGAGCCTGCCACAGCACCCTGCGATAAGCACCTCACTTCCACTGCAAGTCCCAATGCTGCTGTTTAGCTCTGCTGTGCGGGGTGGGCGGACTCGAGATGGTTTGGTGGTGATACTGTGGCCGGTGACGCATGCTCCTCCCTTAGGGACGCGTCTCTTCCTCCACTTGGCTGCTTTGTTTTCCTGAGTCTAACGGGTAGTTTACAGACATCCTCAGAAAGGACAGTGGAAGGCGTCGAAGAAGGCAGATTGTCTGTCAGGGCTTCCTCTTGTCTTTTTGGTCTGTTTTGGTTTTGTTTTGAGTTGGAGTCTCACTCTGTCGCCCAGACTGGAGTGCAGCGGCCACTCCCGGCCACCACAGCCTCGACCTGCTGGGCTCCAGTCAGTGATCCTTCCGCCTCAGCCTTCCAAGTAGCTGGAACTACAGGCGTGCGCTACCACGCCCGGTTGATTTTTTTTTTTTTTTTTTTAATTTATTGTAGAGATAAGGTCTCGCCAAGTTGCCCAGGCGGGTCTCGAACCCGCGGGCTCAGGCAACCTAAAGGCGCGGGATTACAGGCTGAGCCACCGAGCCCGGCTTTGGTCTGTTCTTCACTTGAATGACCTCACTTGACTTGCGACCCTCAGCGCGTGCTCACGCCCAGCCTTCTGCCTGGGGCTCGCCAGCCTCTACCCAGTGGCCCTGGATTGCTTTCTCCAATTAACGCCTTTTGCATGTGTGGTCTGCCTTTCCAAAGGGAAAAAACTAATGGATTACCTTTTCCAAGGAACATGATTGTGCTTCATGGAAATAGTGTCCCAGTCCCAAAGTGCGCCTGAGAAATTCCCATTAGTAAGGGATAGATTTAGGCTTATGGGCCTTTTGGTGCCACAGAAAATAATATATAGGTAGGATTTCATTGTAAATGGGGCTTTTTTTTATTTTTATTTTTTGAGTCAGGGTCTCACCCAGGCTGGCAGGATCATGGCTCACCATGAAGATTTCAATTTTTAAAACACTCTGCTTTAACAATTTATAAGATGACTGCAGTAATTTAAAAATTCCTTTAATTTATCCACCTTTTTTTCTTTAAAAGAAATACGGCACTGGGCATGGTGTCTCACAACTGTAATTCCAGCACTTTGGGAACATGAGGTGGGAGGATTGCCTGAGCCCAAGAGTTTGAGACCAGCCTAGCAACAAAGCAAGACCTTGTCTCTACAAAAAAAAACATCAGAAAATTAGCTGTGTGAGCTGGTGTGTGCCTGTAGTGCCAGCTGCTCGGAAGACTGAATGGAAGGATGGCCTGAGCCCAGGAGGTCGAGGCTGTGGTGAGCCATGATCATGCCACTGCACTCCAGCCTGAACCACAGAGTAAGACCCTGACACACACTAAAAAAAAAAATGGAGCTTATAGGCCACGACACAATAACTTTGTGCTTTTGTTAGCTTTTTTCCCCTTCTGATCAAGATACTGCATCTTTCCATGGAAGTTAAGTAATTGGTACGAATCTGCAATTACTTGAAAAGTTTAGAACTTCAAAACTTGTGGTGGCCTACAAAATTTGCTGTGGCTAATAGGATAGACTGTGCAGTTCTCACACGAGAAGTCCTTTGTGGGACTGGGAAGGCTCACACTAGTAGAGTGAGTCTCACACTTCCACTGAAGGACCAGTTTTTGTTTTTTTAAATTTCCATCCATTGCAGATGGGTGGAAAAACTTTGGTAAACTAATAAAAATGAATTCCTAGAAAAATGAAACTTTAAAAAGATACAAAATAAAACCCCCCTTTTATTTGAGAATAGACATTAATTTGCTGTCAAGTATAAGCATTTCTGAATGCTTTCTCTTCTGTTTTTATGCCTATCTATCATGAACCAATAACAGTTCATGGACCAGGACCATACTTTGACAGAATGGATGAGAACACATGCACAAACATTCACTGAAACCCCCTCTGAGTAGAGTGACTGTCATGATCTTCGTATGTCTTCCTTTGCCCATTCAGCTAAGTCACTGTTTAATGAAAAGCTATTATTAAATATATTTAAGGAAACACGTAAAGGACAGTAGAAACCAAAACAAATGTTTTAAAGAAAATGAAGCTTAGTTGCAGTACCAGCAACTTTGTGCCTTGTCATACTTTCTAGATCAGTGTTTCAACCTGGATTACCTGGAGTTGGAATGTGCTGTGGAACTTGGGAAACAAATACTTAACAGGCGGGCAAAGAGCTACGCTTGAATGTTGACTCTACTACTGGCTTGCTGTCTGCATTTGGCAAGGTTATTCTGAACCTGTTTCCTTATATATAAATGAGAACAGGAACGCTTCCTCTACTAATGTGGTTCCAAGGTTTCAGAGTCTCACTCTGTCTTCCAGGCTGGAGTGCAGGGGCACGCTCACAGCCACCGCAACCTCGACCTGCTGGGCTCAGGCGACCCTTTTGCCTCAGCCCTCCAAGTAGCTGGAACTACAGGCATGCACCACCATGCCTGGCTTATTTTTTATTTATCATAGAGAGGAAGTCTCACCAAGTGGCCCAGGCTGGCCTCGAACCCCAGAACTTAGGCAGTCCTCTCGCCTTGGCCTTCCAAAGTGCTGGGATGACAGGCTTGAACTACCACGCTCAGCCTGTATTCATATTTACAGATTTTTTTATATATGGTGAAAACAGTGCTTTTGTGGGTATGAAGATTTTGGTGTTTTTTCTGTTAATTTTAAGAGCATGTTCTGTGCCTTTGTCTTTAATTTGCTCAGTTTCACTTCCCTACTCCTGTCCTTCCTTGGTGCCTTGCATTCTTGGGGCTAAGGTCAAGTCTCTGGATCTCACTTTGGGATGGTAATTACTTCCCAGGCCTTGCGGGTGTGCAGGCAGCTCACAGCGAGAAGCCTCTCTTTGACACAGCACCATGAGGCAGTAGATAATCAAGTCAGTGACCACAGCTTAGACGCTGTTTTATTTGCATTTTGTATTTTTTTTGAGTCTGAGTCTCACTCTGTCACCCAGGCTGAAGTGCAATGGCACGCTCACAGCCACCGCAGCCTCGTCCTGCTGGGCTCAGGCGATCCTTCCGCCTCAGCCTTCCAAGTAGCTGAAACTACAGATGGAGGCCACCCAGCCCAGCTAGTTTTTGTGATTTAGTAGAGACAAGGTTTCAGCAAGTTGCCCAGGCTGGTCTCAAATGCCCAGGCTCAGGCAATCCTCTCACCTCGACCTCCCACAGTGCTGAGATTACAGTAGACCTTGTTTTAAAGTGTACTGTTTCCTAACTGCAAGCTCAAGTCTAGAAATTTATTCTGTAGAAATACTTCACAAAGCATAGATTCGCAAAAGATCTTTGTGTAAAGATTTTCCAGGAGGTCTGTAAAAGTGAAAAACTGACACCAATCTAAACGTTAATCTGTAAGATAATGGCTAAATACCAGAGGAGCCCTAAATGCAGACACTCGTTTTCTCTCTTATTTTTTTAATTTTGATCTATTTTTTACGGAAACAGAGTCTCACCATGCTGCCAGGCTGGAGTGCAGTGGCTGTTCACAGGCACGATCCCACTACTGATGATCACGGGAGTTTTGGCCCGCTCCTTTCTGGCCTGGGCCTTCACCCTGCCTTTGGCCCTCTGTGGTCCCTCGCTCCAGAGGTTCCCCATATCGATGCTTAGTGCACACGTCCAGTCAGTGTAGTGCACGAC